GCTCTTTTGTCAAGTGCCATTTCATTAAAAAATCAGCCTTTTAACTGTGGACACATTTCAACCTCACCAAATCTGCTAATTATTGACAGTTGGTGAAGAGGAGATTTCACTTGTTCCTCCTGTTAAACTGCATCTAATTAGTAATTACTGGTTCACTGTCATCTTTACTGCAATAATCCCACTGCACATTGGCTCATTAACCTTTTGCTTTTCTAAAGCAGCCTGCCAACAAGATGAAGGCTAAAACAGATTGGAAAACAATAGCTCAGCCTTGGATTTTAGGCTGTTTATTCCCCTTGTCCTGGAGATCCAAAAGGAAGATTATTTTTAAGAAAAGGCTTTCAGCTGAAATCAGCCTAATTCTGGAAGATGGCTTGTTTTGCCCTAACCAGCAACCAAGGTCCTTTCAACCTAACCCTTGGTGAGGGCGTGTGTATTACAGCTAGTGGAAGGGTTTTCTCTGCCATCAGCTCTTGCTTCAGCTCCATTTCTCACCTGGGTTTATCCTTCTTTATCAGCACGATCCAGCACACTGGGCATGGGATGAGGCAAGTTTCAGTGGGTTTGCAGCACCCTGGAAGTTCAACAGCATCCTCTTGGATGCTGAAAAATGAATGATCTGGATGAGCAGGGACCAAAGGGTGGAAAATCAGTGGAGCAACCCCATGGTTATTTCTTTTGCTGCTACACTGAATTTCATTTGCACAAGTCCCATTTTCAGTTTGGAACTGTCACAGCTGTTTCTATTGGCAGTGCATAGCTGAGTAGGAGTTGTCAGTGGGGATGCTGTAGGATAGGCAGCTAGAAAAGAGATTCCCCGGGGGGCATGGGAGGCAGTTGGAGGTTGTGGGCTAAATGCATTAACTAGATGTTTCTCCTAAACTTAACAGCAGTGAATTACTTAATGCATATTGATGCATTTAGGTACCGGAGTTAACACTATATTGGGATGAAAAGTGAATTTCTCAGCATCTTAAGTGTGCTTAGTCTCAAGGACCCACGTCTTTATGGCTGACACTAGGGTTTTATTTTTATAATGTAATCTTCAAAACGATAACATCTAGAAACAAGCTGTAATTCTGGAGCATCGTCGCAGACCTCAAAGTGGATTCCATCTGTACAAAATCAAGGAAGGTATGAGGTCTTAGCTAGACTAAATACCGACCAAAGAGAAGACCTGGATTATCCTTCCCAGCACATGAAGGTTGTTCAGCTCCAGAATTTTCATTTAGTTGATATTGGTGTTCCTGAATGCAACCAGAGCTGAATTCTGATTTCTCTTATGTTACTTTAAAACAGGTATAACTCTGAAGCAGCTAGAGCTGATGTGATAAGGTGGCTGCATTTATCTAGCACATTTATTACATCTATTGCAAGGCTTCAATTCTGCTTGAAAACTAATTGTAAGTTTGAGCCCCTTTAGAAGAGTGGATCAAAGGCGGCCACTCAAGCTCCCATGCTAAAAAAAGTGCTTAATAACACAGCAGCTTCTGTGTTTGCTCTCTGACTAAAGAAAAAGGACTGTGAATGTGTGATTAAGGGCAGAATTTGGCTCATTTACAATTCCTGAAAGGGTTGCTGCTCAGACCATAATCATATTTTTGGAACAGAACACGCCTATTACATCTTGTTGTTAATAATTTACTCCCTGGGTAGTGCTCATTACAACAGCATCATCTCAGTCGTGTTATGTTCATAGCTGGTACAGTAGGTGAACGACTGCAGCTATGAGAAAAAGTAAATACACACTTGCATACATATATACACATGCATGTACATATACAATGTTCAAACACCTAAAGTCTATTAACTTAGTTACCTGACAAGTTCATGGACCAGTGATGAGTAACCAAGAAGTTTGAGAAATGCTCTTTGCAAGGCAACTCAGATTTCCTATCCAATGCTGTGAAGAAATGGCTCTGGAGAGATTGTTTCAGATAAATCACTCGCTCTGCTCACTTGAGCATCCCCACAGTCACTGACCACTGAGAAAGTCTCAATGAGATTTTGCAGAATGGGAGGAACACCCATTACACACACAATCCCACATACTTGTAATGAATGCAACCATAACTAGAAGACGGATCAGACCAGGCTGCTATGGAGAACTTGATTCCTTCGTGTCAACAGATGTGGGGTCCAGCTGTGCGCATGGAGCTAACTCCAGTTGAGCGGAGCCGAGACCCCAGTAAGTAATGAGCTATACCACCAGCTGTAATGGTTTCTCTTCATTGACATGAAGCGTGGGCAGAGAGCACGTCGTTCTGCTTGATCCACTAATCAGCACTGATTCATGTTTACACTGCAGATAACATTTCATCTGTTTTTAGAAGGTCATTTTCAAGTGATGCTTTATGGTTTCAGTATTGTCTAATGCCTGCAATTTGAATATCCCTTGGAGGAAGCCAGACCTTAACTTTCCCTGTGGGCTAGAATTCATTCAGCTGTTAGCACCAACACAATTTCTCAAGCTGCAATATCAGATACTATATGTTATAAATTATCTGTCACCCCTAAAGCTATAACACAAAAGGCAAAAAGACCTTGTGAGCTTCATTTTTAGATAAAGAAACTAAGGCAATGAATAATTATTTTTGTAGAGCCCGAAGTGTTTAACTCTGAATGCCTCAGATTCTGGTACCAAAGCTTTAGTTCCCACTACCTTAGTAGGCACTTACTATTTCAGAGAAGCCCATGCTAAGCAATGCCTACAGAAAATACTGGAAACGTACAAAATGCTAAATTTCAAAACAGAATTGTAGGGTGAGTTTCCTGTCTATGTTGAAAGAATGGTTTTGTTTGGCCAAGGCTATTAAACATGTGCATCATCAGTGAGAAGGGAGAAAATACACAATGACCGCCGCTTAAGGCTTGAGATGACACGAAGTCTGGGAAAGCAGTAAATAATTAAGAGCCCAGGTCACTGATACAGAGGCGTCTAGATGTGTGGAAAAGAAGTCAACGTGCAAACATAAAATTGGTCAAACATATGGTCAAATATAAAATTGCCTCTGGGTGCAAATAGCGCACCTATGGCATGGGGCACCATTTTGGGAGAACGGTGGCAGTGTCACTTGTGGGGTTGGTGGTACCTCCTGTGGTCTTGCTCCCCTGATTATCTCGAAAGAAGACCTCTCAGGAAAGGCCATGGCTACCTTCTGGTGGGTGGGGCTCCTTTCCCTGGAAATAGGAGCATAAGGGATGCTCTATGTCCGAGCCTCCTTCCAACAGGAACGTTGGATATACTCTGGGCACGTACCTTGAACGTGTGCGAGACCTGGAAATATTCCTCAGTCTTTCATAACCAAAACCTCTGGGCAGAACTTGGGATCACAGCAAAAAAATGATGGACAAGGAGCTAAGGTTGAGCTCATGCCAAAATGACTAACGTGTTCTGTGGATGTATGAATTCAAGTAGAAGCAGGCAAATCACGTTGCTCCTGCAACTGGTGCTTGTGCAACTTCTTACTGGAATACTGTGTCTGGTTCTTATGGAACTGCTCCAAAAAGGATGTTGACTAATTAGAAAAAGTTTAAGGAAGAGCCATATGAATCATTAAAGCTTCAGAAAACACATCTTATAGCAAGAAACTCCGAGATTGAGATATATTCAGTTTCTTAAAGAGAAGATTAAGGGACAGTTTTATCTCAGCCTGGAAACAGCTAGAAGGACAACAAAAAATCTGTATCACATTTTTCGGTCTAGCAGACAAGTGTACAACAAGATTCCCTGGCTAGAAGTTCTAGATAAACTCATCCAGACCTAAAAAAATGAATTAACCATTAGAGACTGTGATACCAATTTCTGATCAACTGTTCGAGTTGACACCAAAAAACCTTCAGCAAAGTCCTTTGCTCTGTTTGATAGAGGTCTTACCACTTTCTAATAGAGTCCCTCCCTGTAAATGTACAAATTTACAATCTGCAAATCCATGAGCTCCAAACATCGAATGGTCAAAATTAATGACTTACAAAAAAATACACCTTAGCAATTCGTTCAACTAACTTAGGTACAAGTGATTTCATTAGTCATTCTGCCTGTTTCCTTGGCTAGTTTTCCTCTGTTAGCCCCCAGGCTGTGTCTTCTTCCTCTAGCCAGGCTAGATGACGAAAAGGCAGAAACCCTCAAAGAAGCCCTGGGAAAGTACATCCACAACAAATGTCTATCCCAGGCTCTTTGCTTAATGGACAAAGACTTGTTTTCACTATGTTAACACCAAGAAACACCACTGTCATGGGAGAGGGGCAGCTGAACCACGTCCTCCCTGGTACAGCTCAGCTCTGACTAAGCTCACGTCCCCAGACAAGACAGGACGAACCCAGCTGGAGTCTCAGAGCAGAAGTCATCAGTCAGAAACACCAACATCTCTTGACTTGTGATCTGACCAGACCTGACCTGGGTATCACTGAAGAGGGACCAGATACCCTCCGTGCTAGCTGAGACACTCCTCTGACTGGCGATCAAGCGGGCAGAACATTATCCTCGTACATTTAAAAAACCACTTTATTCCAACCTGGTTGTCCCGCTGATCCCTGCTGTTCTGATTACTGTACAGTCTAAATGTCCTCCACACGGCAGAGGCCTGGTGCAGACCACCCCTGGAGAACAACGGATGCGATGGAAGGGAGGAGGATCACACATGACCATCCCTCGCCTGTAAAAGGTGCGTTTGCTGGGTGGAACAAAGGTTCCTCTGTTCAGTTCTTCCTCTGTTTGCTTGGAAGGTACATCCCCCCACATGATCCGAACATTGGTTAAAAGCATAGAAAAGCTGTGTGATACTAATCTGTGCTCGCACGCGCTAACAGGAGGGACTAACATAACCATCACCTGCCCAGTGAATCTGCACTTGTTCAAGCAAAGAAGACAGCAACCAACTTCATCCAAAAATGGAGGAGGCCCCATAGGAATAAGACTATTATCCAGGAAGGCAAAACAAGCAGTGGCATCGGCAAGCCCCTCTGAGATATCCCATTGCAGTGACCAGACATGTACTGACCTCGGACATCTGCGGGAAGAGACTGATGGCCAAGGGGAGGGCCAGGCCAAAGGCAGCGAGGCACACAAGGCTTTGGACTGGGAGAATCATCCGGGGACGGGACCTCAGGAGTGATGTTCTGGAAAAGAAAGGCTTCGTTAGACCATTTCATAGAGCAGGTGCTTGCATGCCATCATCAGAACGGACACTGGTGTTCACCCAGACCCACTGGTCTCCCTCTCCCTAACTGGTCTAGGTTCCTTCTTAGTAGGTCATCAACAAGTTCACCCACATAAGTCCTGCGCACTGTGCATCTGCTGGGGTTACACAGCCCACGCCAACCTAAAAGTGCTCACTTCTCCTAAATTAGAACAGGATCACTTCACACACACTTCCCCCATTTCAAACCGTCTCACACTGGAGCACCCGGCACACGAGGTGATCTGGCCACGTGTAGGTGTCACCTGCATTAAGGCTTTGGAGACTATGTTGAGTGAGCAGAAGGAAATTAGATTCTTGAGAGATATTGCGAACTTTGTTGGCCCTATCACGCGGTGGTACTGAAAAGGTGGTACTGAAAAAGGCACACGACTTTGTTAATGGGGTAATAAAGTAGTAAACTCGACAATACCTTAATTTGTTAAAAATCAAACCCCTGCAGAGTGGGTGATAAGGATGTTTTAACACTTGCTGTCCCCAGGGGATATTTATGAGTTCAAGACTTGTTAACAGCAGACACTTTAAGATACCTGCAAGGTCAGGTTCTGATAATGACCCATTAAGTGACCTTTCTGATGCAATTAACACCCAATGACAGGGACAACATTTAGCTGGTAGAAGGTGGCATGTTAAGTATGTTCCAGGATACAGGACCTCAGACAGTTTACAAATGTTAAGGGGAAAAACGTAATTCTTGAGGGGTTTGCTCTGGAGCTATTTACACCAAAATTACACCTGTCATTCAACTTTTTTTTCTACCAATCTGAACAAACTGGGAATATAAACCAGCAACTTGATAGTGAGTTTTGTTTGAATATTCAGTGTATATTAGCAACGCAGAGAGTCAGCAGATTCGCTGCTGGGTCATCAGCTACACCCTTAGTCCCAACGTGCATCTCTTCTCTGTCCATCCTGCTCTTGAGGATGCCGATGGCTCGCGGTGTCCTGCCATCAAACACGGGCAAAGATCTGCTACTTAACGCCTTTCCACTGCGGTGATAACACAGGAGCTCCTCTTTTGGTCAAGGAAGGTACAATCAGATTACACTAATCGCTAAACAGCCCGTGCCTGCTGCCAATGCAAGACAACAGATTACCTCAACCCCCGTCTACTCCACGTTTACTGTGGGCTACAAACACGCACCTGATGAATTATAACGGAGCAGCTGATGTGTGGGAACTTGTTACCCTGCTGTATGTTGTCTGTGTGTCTGAACATTCAGATTCTTCGCCCTTTGCTAGCAATGCTTGCTGAAAGCTGTCTTCATCTTGAGAAGGTTTGGGGGAAGTGGGGAAGGAAAACAAGATCCAGAGCCTTAACTCCTCCAATATCTCAGCTCCTCACTAATAAGCTATCGAGACGGAGTTGATCCTATCAATTTGTGCTGTGAAAGCCAAGCTTCTGTTCTCCAATTTGTTTTGCATAGAGCACGATCTAACCTAAAAGACTCCTACAGAAGTCCACAAGGATTTTGTCTGAGACAGGAAAGCAGGTTACCTTGCTCCACGCTCTTTAACAAATGCAACGTTCAAGAATCGCCATCAATAAGCTGTGATAACTAGTCCCTGGGATGCAGAGGGGCAACTCCTGGAACTGATTTATTCTCCTGCTTAAGCTGTCGTGATCCACGAGAGCCCTCGCTGAGAAAATCATATGACCAGCATCCTTCAAGCCTCCCTGGAGTACAGTTTAGAACCAAGACATCACTGCTTATACCACCCCTGACATCTTAATCTGGAAGCTGCACCCTCTTTAATTACTGCCCTGTTGGGGACCTTATAATCACCCAAGTAAAAACTCAACCAATTTAAAATGATCCCCAGTACAGCCCCCAGGTGTGATTTCCAGGAGTGCTTCAAATTCAGGCCAGTTCAAATTACACTGGCCAACCTCCTAATTAAGAAGAGTTATGGCTTGATTTAAAAAGGAGAGGGGACTAATTAACACATGTAGTGTAATGTCTTAACTGGGATTCAGATTCTAAAATTTGTGTGGCTCAGAATAAATGACTCATAATTAGTCGAGAGGTCCACTTTTCTTTTGTCCCTAGGATCTTTGCTCTCGACACAGATCTCAGAAGAGTATAAAGTTAAATATTGCATGCTGCATTTTGCTAGCTGTCAAATGCAATCAAAACCCCTCCTTTCCCCCATTAGCTCCCCATTGGAAGTGAATGATTAGATGTTTCCAAAGGGTTTAATTGCAGACTATTATAGCAGATTAAAACTAAATACTATTAATATCCATTTGTTGAAGAGTGAATTAGTTTACAACACTGTCCTGCGTGCTCTGCCAAGGGGTTTGATCAGGGAAGTGGAGGCCTGGACCTTTAGATCCTCCTGACAGCCCAACTTTGCCATTTGCATCTTCTGAAGCAGACTGCTATATTCACAAGAGCAAATATCATCTTACCCTACCAGTAATTCTGCAGAAGTACTTGAAGCTATTTTCATAGGAGAACAGTAGTTTTACAGACTGTCACCATGTACACAGGACAGGACTGGCTCTGGCGAACTAAACTTTGGCGCTCAGATTAGACAACATGGGATTGAAAAGTTTGCACCAAGAGAAGGTCTCACATTGGAAATCTGCAGGAAGACGATAATATGTTTTATTGTTCCCAATTTTAGAAGCCAGATTTTTGGCACCAATGGTCTGCCTCGCTAGTATAAGTGATCCATGTTTATATAACAACCTTTGCATGGCAAGGAACGTGCATTTTTTGCAATACTTCCCTCCTCCTCCCTCTTTTTTCTTCTTCTTTTTTTTTTAAAGATTTGTTTCTTTACCCCCCTTCAAAACCCCCTAATGCCTATTCTTTCTGCAATTTGCCTTCATAAAATTTGCCTAGCAGATTATTAAAAAGGCAGTAACGCGCTGGGGAGCTTCTGGCTTACTAATCCTAGGTAGCACTTACTGTTAACGGATATACCTAAAACAGCTAGACCTTACGGGTAACATTTCAATATGCATGAGTGTGCATGTACGTAGGTATATACACAGACACACGCATACTTGTACAGACAGTACATCTGCTCCGCAGAGACAGTGTGTTGTAGATCTTGTAAATACACCTTCATTCAACTTTCATCACATTGTTCATTAGTGGTTTAAATTTTGCATAATTTGGCAGCTGCCTCTGGCGTTTTTCAAGAGGTACTGTAATTTATTCCATATGGAAGTCAGTTGCTGTACTAAAAAGGAGTTATCAGGTTCAGTGAACCAGAGCTGTATTTGTCTAGAAGGAGGTGTCAGATGCTAAACTAAATATGACAGGAGTTAACCAAAGTCTCCCAGCTGACACATTCTGTGGGGTTTCTGTAGTGTTTGGTATAAACAGGTTCAAAGCTAATACATACGTCGCAAGACGCCGAGGGTGCCGGCGGGGTAAGAAAAGCGCTGGAGGCTGAAGCTCTGGGTATCCCGAGGCACCCCAGGCTCCTCAGAGCCCGGGGTTCAAAACACCCCTCTGATGTGCAAACAAACTTTGGGGTGGTTGTCCTATCCCAGATCCCAGTTCTGCTGAGAACCTCCCAGAGCCGGCGTCGTACCGCGTCTCTGCTTCAGAGAGCCCGTCAGGTCTCTCTGCTATCTGCAGAGGGTGTTTCTGAGCTTCTGTCACTCATTTTGGGAATGCCAAGCTCTTCTAGCGACCAGTAGCTCTGTCTGCTGTCCTGCCCAGCCAAGCCACCGCTGTCCTCACCAAGGAGCATCTCCTGCTCCTGCCTGTAGCCCCAGTGCCCCCTCCAGAGGACACAGCAGATGCAAACAGAGTGAGGTGGGGGGATTTTTGTGCTTGATTGACATAATTAAAGGAGCAGTTTCAATGTTTACTCTGGAAACAGCCACAGCAGTTTAAGGTGTCACTGCTGGCAGCTGTTTAGTTTAAACAAACTTCAGCGAGGGTTTAGCTGGACAGAGAGACTTTGCACTTCAGAGGAGGAAGAGCACTTGGAGGAAATGTTCTGCACACACTGTCAGAAGGAGAATACCTCCAGCAAAAGGCCATGAACATGAGGTCTAGGAGGGCCTCCCACCTCACACATATTTCTGCAGTGAAAAACATGGTTTAAGCTGCAGAAAACGCCCTTCCAGCACCACAAAACCACGGGCTGAGCCCTGGCTATCCATCAAAAGAATCCATTTTTCATGGTTAGACTGACTTAGCTAAGCCAGAGCAGCTCTGTAATGTTGATCCAGCCTGGGAGCATCCTAATTTTATGAGCTTTACAGGAAAACAACCCTGACAACTGCTGCATGAGGATGCTGACATGCTGTAGCAGCTCTGACACAAGATCAGGATGATGTGGAGATGAAGAAAGAGTAGAAATCCTCCTTTTTTATGGACACAGCTATTCTGCTCCCTGCTTCTCTCTCAGCTCTTGCCCATTGCCTACAGTTCCAGCTTTATCTCTCCTCCATAAACACTACACAGTCGGCTCTAGGGCCTCCTCCTGTCTAGCCTGACATTCATGAGCTCTTGGAGCCCATCCTCAGACGTTCTGCTGCACTTCAGACCCTCTGAGATTGCCTGTACTGCGAGGCAGAGAAGAGGCTTTAGGATGAGGAGATAAGAAGAGCTTAGGTTCTTCCATCTCCACTGCCAGCTATTAGCTCAAAGCGTCCACAGCAGACATTGCTGGTGGACTGAGCTTGTCCACCACTTGTCCAGACCACATGAACCAAGTACCACTGGATTTGGGCTCTCCCACCACAGAGCTCAGCCTACAGGAGAACCTGAGGTTGCACTTACACACAGACCTGGACGGTCTACACATAGACCAGCTGCGTGATGGGCTTCAACTCTGCAAGGAGTCAGAAGCTGTACAAAGACTACTGGAGAAGTCTTGGATGACGGCTGGGAGAAACTTGCACATTTCCCAAATTTCATCATAACTACCAGATAAAAGGATTCACAGAAGCATCTGAATGAAGGGAAACGTCTGAAGGACGAGAAGTCCAACTTCATGAAGTGGATGTAATTGTCCCCACAGCTCTGTGACATGGAGGTACTATTGAAGTTTCCATTGTCTGTCCCAAAGTCAGCTACATCCCATAGATGAGTCGTCTTCGTCTCATAGATGATGTGAAACCAATATTTTTCCGTATTAAAGTTGCCAACACAGATATTATTTATAAAACTTAAATGAGAATACATCTGCACAAAATAACTGACACCGTGTTCCCCGCATGGCATATGTAGTCTCAAAATAAACATTGATTCTATATGTTAGCTGCTTCAACAGAGCGTCCAAGCAGCAGGAAATGCATGAAACATGGGGAAAGAATGGCGCGCTGCGGAGCTCAGCAGTGGGAGGTAACATTGAATTACTTGGAGAGCAGAGAAGGCGGCCCTGGGAGTTAAAATACACAGCAGGCAAAGAGACGAGAGAAGCCAAGAGAGCTGAAAAAAATGGCACAAGAGACGAGAGAGGCAGCTGGGGGAGTTAAAACATGCAGATGGAGAGATGGCTGAGAGAGAGGAAAGACCTGGATCCAAGTGGAAAGACGACGACCAGGAACTGGCCACTTAAAATAAACTTTTTGAATACCGAGACCAAAACGAGTGAGCGGGTTTTCTATGAATCCGAAAACCACTGCTGGGAGCACGTAGCTCGCTCCTGGGGTGGTGCAACTCCCACCCAGCTGCAGCACTGTCACCCACTTCCACCCGGACTTAAATGCAAGGCAGGAGAATCGCTCTCCTCCTTCGCCACAACCCCAAATGCAAATGACTTAGTAGAGGATCCAGATTGCGACTTCTGATTCCAGATCTCCAGCCTCCAAATAATAAGCCGTCACTCTCATCTTTCTCATTTGGAGACACTGTAAGGATTTCTATAAATAAATTGATAATGCGTGCCTTGATATGACTCCCATTAAAAATGCCCTAGTCTAACTAAAATTCTACTAAGTTAAAAAAGTTAAACTTTTCACCAAATGCTCCAAGTTTTTTTGCAAAACGAGGTTTCACCTCTGACTGTGTCCTTCAATAACCGCTTTAAAAGATCCGTGAATCGACACCTGGACTGCGAACCCCTCGGCTATGGAAAGGGATGCTCTCCATGTCAGATGGACGCTTCCATGTCCTACAGCGATACCACCTCTAGCTGCGTGGCCAAACCGCACTCCACTCCTTATCCCTGCTGTTTCTCACTCACAGGCTTCCAAGAATCCAAAGATATTTGATGGAAAATGAAAGAGTAGGCACAAAGCCTGTAGAATTTAGGCAGGCAAAATCACTGCCCAGATATTTTTATATCTACAGAGTTTCATTTGGGGATGGTGGGGAGGAAAGTATTCTCTTGCAAACCTGAATTAGGTCTTTCTATTAGTTAAAATTATGACTTTTTGAAGACAACCTCCTGTATGCCTACATTTGCTTGACAGATAAAATGAGTTTCAGTAAGTCTTGCACAGAGCACAGGTGCATTTAGTAAAACTCATTCTATCAGTACAAGAAGTTATGATGCCCCCAAGTGCAAAGCAAATTTTACTCTTAGTTTTATTTGAGCTTGTGGATGCTTAGCAAGACCCGTGATGGTCCTCAGCATTTTCTGCTGATGACAATCATTTATAGACCAGATTTCTAGAAACTTTGAATTTTTGCACATAAAGATTTTTGACTGTTCATGTTGATAACCAGAATAGCAAAGATCCTCTGAATTATACAGATAAAACAGTTTGTCCTCTGGCGTGTTCTTTCCTGGATGAGCTAATCACCAAGGTATGGTTAGACTGGAACCAGTGCCCGTATTAAGCCAGCGGTAACACATGCAGCCACTTTGGTGCAAAGCCTCAGTTGCGACAGAAAGGCAAAAAGAAAGAGCTCTGTGGTAAGAACATCACAAATCGGTGGCATTTCTGAAGTGTCTGGCATGTGGACAGATGAAAATAGAAGTCCTCTCGACTGACAACAGCAAAGCAGCTTTGATGGGATTATAAAGGCTAGAATCACGTATCTGAATTTGAAGCAGGGAAGCTGCCAAGTTGCTGGGGTACAAAGATAAGTGACAATCCCTGTTCTTCTTACACACGATTTTGAGCAAGCCCAGAGTAAGGTACTCCAGAGTAAGGTACTCCAGAGTAAGACACGGTCACTCCCGAGCACCTCTCCTGCAGATAGATCATGGGCTTGGGGACCGTGTGGGTGACACAGGGTCTTGGAGCAGGGAAGGGGCTGCAGAGCTTTTGTCAAGGAGGAGCACAAAGTGAAAATCAAATGCTTTGCACAAAATTAGGGGGACTGGAATCCAACCCTTGTCCTTGTGTGTCTCCAGCAGCTGTCTCCAAACAGTGGCTTGCCGCAAGCGTTACCAAGACTGTGCCCTGCGGCAGGGAACCACCACAGTCCCTTTGAAAAAGAAAGGAAAACAGCGTATTTTGGCCGAAAAGGACTGAAAGAACTTACTTTACAGTTTCCAAAACAGAGTTTGTTGCCCTGTTTCTCCCCACACCCAGGCCATAGGAGGAACCGATCTTGGTGAGAGTCTCTAGGTGCTAGAGGGGTACCAGACTATATCTATATTTTTAAATTTAGATGTTAAAAATCAGACTCCAAATTTACAGAAGCAAGCCCGACCCTTCCGTTAAGAAGAGAAGATTGCCCAGGGGTGTTTCTACAAGGGTAAACAAGGCTAACCAAAGCTATGGGTCAATCCCTAATCGTACTAATTGCTATTTACTTTGTCAGTGGAGTGCTTTAGAGCAGCCATTATCAACAGATTTGTTTAAAGAGTGCTTCCAGCTTGGCTATCTGGACAAAGGTAGCAAGCCCTTTAGCACCCCCATCTTTCAATGCACTAATTAGTTGGCAAGGTGGTCCCCACCCCACAGATATTCACACCGAATGAGCTGCTGATGGGTGTCCTAAGGAGCCACAGGCACCCAACAGCTCCTAACAGGCTCACTGCACCTCTGGGCAGAAGAAAAAGCGGAGGTATTGGAAAGCAAGGTGGGAGAATGGCCAATGGACAGGGCAGTTTGGGGTAGGAGACAGTTGATAGGAAATAATTAGACATGAAATAATAACCCTGCCTTTTCCTGCCCACTCTCCCAGCACTGATGCTCCACGGAGACATCTGCCAGGAGAGGTTCTGGCTTAAATAGTGATGGAAAGCAAATTTCTGCAGAATACGCGAAGCATATATTCTTCTGGGGAAGTCCAAGCCACAGGACGTTATTGAAAGAAACTACAAGTGAGTTCAAACAGGGCATAAGCAAGTCCAACAGTGGCCAAGGTGGTCTGGATGCGGTATGTGGTCAGCAAGTCCCTACACTCCCCATCGCTGGCTGAACACGAGCCAAGACCTTTAGTTTGACTCCATGTGGCAGCTGTGTTTGCTAAGTGGAGGACTGAAAACTTATGGACGCTTTTCCACTGAATTCAGAGAGTTTTGGCTCACACTGACCCTACAGAATAGGGTTACTCAAACTGCTGGGGTCTCAGAAAGATGATTTAAAATAACCACGTCAACCACGCTTTAACAGCCTCCAACAATGGTCAAAAATGCTGGAACATGAAAAATTTAATAAGCAAAAAAGGTCTTTGATGGAACTTTGACAGGTGGTAGATGCCCCATCCCTGGAAACATTCAAGGTCAGGTTGGATGGGGCTCTGAGCAACCTGATCTAGTTGAAGATGTCCCTGCCCATGGCAGGGGGCTTGGACTGGATGACCTTTAAAGGTCCCTTCCAACTCAAACTATTCTATGATTCTATGACCAATGCTAAGAAATATCAATGAATAACACCTCCTGAGCATCTTTTCTCCCTTCCCTTTGAAAAGGTCCCCGCTTCGTATTACCCAACACTTACTTTTCCAGTATGGACATAATAATTGGAGGTAGAACCAGTATAGGCATTGGCAGGACCACTCTAGTCAGGGCCGTTTCAAGCAGTGCCTGAAAAGGAAAAAGAAACAAACAAACCCAACACATGTAAAACAAATCTCAGGATGTACCTGCACTGAGCAATCAACGCGTGGGCACAGAAATGGTTTGGCTGGCCTTTCTTCTGTTGCATATGTGAATGCATCAACAGACACTTTCAACTCTGCTATCAGCTATTTGTATACAACCTATTTTTGCTCCGTTGCCACAAATGGTGGGCTGGAGCCCATGCTTGGTCACAAATCCAGCAGAATAAACAGAGACACCTAATAGCTTCCCTGATTTCACTTTATGTGACGAAAAGCGCTCAAACATCTCGTCATATTCCTACACAAACATGTTAGTGCTGTCTGGGGGAAGAAAGAAAGGAAAAACAGCTGCCTGGAGGATGCTGTAAGGTGAAATATCTCAGTATGGGCTGAGCAGCAGCTTCAACCCTTCCTCCCTCAACTGAGTTTCAACTTCAGTTACGTGCTGGGGGAACGCAGCACCTTATTGCCAGCTCCAAGACTTGTTTCTGTTTTTTAATCACTGGTGATTTATTGCAAAGCATCGTAACACACAGGGCTCTCCTCTCCCAGGAAGACACCCAACTGCGGAGCTACGGTTGTCCCTCCGCTGGTGCTTTCTCCCTGACAAGATTCACCGGGAAGCAGCGAACAGAACTGCTTGGCAGCATGATACCTATCAATTACCCTGAGATGAGACCTAGAGATGATCATGGGCGCTCTAGCAAGGTGCTTAAGCACCACTGTGTCTTCATTTACCTCTTCCAACCACCTTTGCCAGCACCTACCTGGGACCCTCCAAGCACTGCGACCATGCGTGGGGCTTCAACAGACCTAGGCAGAGGATACTATGGATTTTGGATGGAAATGCTGAAACTTATGCATAGGGACTGGCTTGGGACCACTCGCTCCTTCCAAACAGGAGAAGGTCTCAGAGAGGTGCGGATGTGTTACACTGAGGATCTGCCAAATTTTACATGACAAAACCCAGTACTAAGCTATTCCAGAAGAAGCATCGGGATTAGATGGCAGCTGAGCAGAAGTTCTCAGAAGTTCCAAATTTGATGTTTAAACTCCACCTAAATCACACTTACAGTACCTTCACTTTTAATATTTATTTTCTATGTTGTCTGTCTTTCCCTCGACCATTAGGATGGAGAAAGGAAGCTGGGTCCTGAAGCCAGTTAATATAAGTGAGGAAAACTGGCTCAAATAAGTATCTCCGAGCCCTTCAACAGATTGTTTTAAGCTCCCTGTTAAACAACAATATGGAGATGTATTAGAGATCTCCCATTTCTTGCCGAGGACTGTAAATCTGTACATTAATTGCTGTCTATGAAGTGCCTTAAGAGCCTTGGACAGAAGGAGCGAAAGAAATGCCAAGCATTATATTATTAACTCCTCTGCCTGGGCGTGTGCTTCGGTACATGCTTTACATTTCAGATTAAAGCCCACTTGGAAACAACATGCCTCAGACAATCAGATGATGCTCAGAAGACAAAACTATGTAAGAAGGGAAGAAAAGGGAATAATTGCAGGCAGATGGCAGAGAGTAGAAGGTTACAGGGGAAAACAAACCAGGTGTTAGGACGAGGATAAAGACATCTGGCTACCCTCTCAAAGCTTTGGTTGGCAATCATTAATGCAGCTTTGACACGGCAAGGGTTAAAAAGCTACTCAGCTCGAAAATGAAGTCTCCCTCATTTAGAAAAAGGTGTAAGTTATCTTTGCTTCGTATTCAACATGAACTGCTTACAAGTTTCCACAAAGAAATCCTAAGGCTGTGAATGTATCATAGCACAGGATCTTCCTGATGTCAGTCTGCGCCCTTCCAAACCATCACGCTCAGCCACCGAATTTGCCTGCATGACACGAGCCTGTGTCCACCAGCACACCCAGTTTTGTGGCTACACAACTGCATGCGTGGGTACAAAGCAGGCATTAAGTTTTGCCGCTTTGTTCTTCCCGCATGATGGGTAAAGCTCATCTATTTCTAGCTCTTTCAAGTCATCGATTCCTACGGCTGTGGGATTCGTTGAGCCTGAAGGCCAGTTGTCTACAAGCTCACCCGAGTGTTTGCCGGGAACATCACAGGTACATACGTGTTTTGCAGCAATTCTGGAAGACCCGACAATGTTTCCGTTACTGTCCAAAACATCAATTCCTTCTTCCAGCTCTGTGTGCCTCATCAGGACAACATTGCAGATATTGGCACTAGCTGAGGATGAGAAAAGCATGATGATTAGCAACACAGCCCTGGTCAATACCAAATGGCAGGCTTCTGTTCGCCGTGACAGCCCTTCAGCTTTGCTTGCATCAGTCTGCCAAGAAGTTTCTGCAAGTCAAGGAGCCACTCTTATACCAAGACAAAGATGTGATTCCTAAGAAGAGAATAATAATCAAGATAATTTTCTTTTACTTGCAAAAGGATGTGCTGCCACAATCAGAAACGTATTGACGCAAAGAAATACCAGTATTTCCAAATGTTGGTGTTCGGACATGCTCCCAACTCCCACAGTGGTTCTTCACCCGACATTTTAATCTACTAAGTCAAACATGTCCTTGCACTGGGCTACCAGTTGGTCTTGGCCAACCAGTCACTGCTGATTGACAGCTGCCTCTTCTGATGGTACATCCCAGAGCTGGTTTTAACTCCCCTTACTAAGCCAGCAGACAAAGTCTTCTTAAATAATGGATTTTAGCAGGTATGATGGAAATAATACACTGCAAGTGATTTTACAGAGCTATGAAGAACAGCTTAGATCTGAGCTCTTAAAGAGGACAGAATTATTTTTTTTAATCAAATAAGACAAGGTTGGGTTGTTTCCATGGACGTGTATTCTATTAGTAGAGGTCCTGCTGACTATTTGCCCTTATTTCACATGTTTTAGCACAAAAATGGCTCTGTGGACTTATTTTCTATTAGAGACCTGCTTGTTTGCTTTAACAATATTTTTCCGAACTGCAACACAAACCAGCAGCGCTTTGGAGAACTCTGGTTCCCAACTTTCCCATTTCCCAAATATCAGCCCTGCATTCACAGCGGAGGCAGTGGCAGCTCTGGGATCCTTTCTGACACCTCCCCCCCTTGCCCAGCCTATGGCTTTTGTAGCCTTCTCGAGGTAACCCCAAATTCTGCTCCTCAAGTAACGTGTTAGAGTTGGGGCTGAGGAAGATCCTTCCCAGATGCAGCTCCTCTCCAGGGCCCAGGCACTTTTTAATTTTTTCCAAAGAAAAGCTGCTCATTCCTATAAAAGTTTTCGTTTTGATAAACTGGCATTTTCCAGCCACATTTTGTTGCAAACTTTCCAGCCAGAACTAACACAAACCCACTGTTGCTGCAAGTACCACTGCTTCCAAAAATGTGCTTCTGTACTGCTTGATGGGTTAATATTCGCTAATTAATCTCAATTCATGTCATATAACAAATGTCTAATTTTTTGAGGGTGGTGGGTGGGTGAGCCCTATACGAATGCAGCTCTCTGCAATCAAGGATGATTTGTGGTGACAAATGCTCTTTACACTTGAGAATAAGAGGAACATACACACACGCACACTCTGTCTCTCTCTTTAATATTCAAACTACCGGACCACTCTTCCCATCTATCAAAATATCTGTGTTACCAACCCTTCAGCTCCCTAATCCAAGACAAAAAAGAAAACAGACATTTCATTTAAAGCAAGTTTAGCCCCTCTTTTTTTTTTTTTCTTTTTTAACACTCACATGCCCCGTCCTTCTAGCTTTCAGCCAAGACTGAACGTATAAAAACACGCCAGCAGAGATGCTCTGGCCAAGCCAGGATGCACTGGCACAAGGCTTTTGTGAGACTCACGATGGGGTGTCCAGACCAGAAGCTCCCACCACAGCTAGGTGCCTCTCCAAGTCTCTGGATCTTATTAGGATTCATTGACCAGGGCCCAAATTCAAAACCTGATTCCAGCCTGTTTGTCTGAGACAAACAACTGTCTTAGTTGCTCCCATTCTGCTTCAGCAAAACCCTGAGAAAGCAGAAAAAGCTCCTAATTATGGGTAAACTTGGATTGTATGGAAGTCTCAAATACAGGGGGGAATGAGAAATAAATAAATATATATGTAAACAATTTGATTTGCAGAATTTGGAAAAAAAACGTGATAATATAGCCTGGAAACGACTTCTGTAAAAACACTTAGCGACATATTAGAAACTGGGTTCAGATACAAAACCAACCCACTATCCTACTTCTATATGTGTATAAATATCCTTTCTAAACCAGGGTGCTCTCCACGCACTAAACAGGCCCTTGTGCACCACCTAAACGCATTTAACAATTTTAACCCCACCCACAAAAAAAAAAAAACCCAAGGAGAAGAAATCCTTCCTCCTCCTCACATCCTTTCGCTCCAACGTGTATCTTTCTACCAGCTTTAACTTCCTTCGGAGCAGGTTTGGGATGCCACTTCTGGGGTTTTTTGGGGTTTTCTGTGGGTTTTTTTAGCCACATACATCTCCAGCATAAAGCGTACCATCACCAGCGACACCCCTCACCTTCGTGACAGCTATCCGCACCCAGTGCTTGGGGAGAAGTGGGTAAACTGGTTTCTTTGCAATAACCCTGGGCATTTATGTCCTTCACCATCTACATCTCCAAGAAAAGGTCAAGCCCCTTCTTGTTCAAATTTGGGAATCGCCGCTCTCCAGAACACAGCACGGACACACTCCTTCCCTTCTCCTGCACTGAAAACCTTCATGGAGAACAACTTCACCACCCAGATGTTGCTCCGGGGTGGCCAACGTCAAGCACGAACCCCTCTTGCATCAAGCCAGCCACTGGGTATGCAGAGCCCTGGCCATCGCCATGAGCTCTTCCACCCAGGATGGTTTGCTGGATCCATCCCCTGGGGCTGGGGAGGACTTTTTGGACAGCCTGTAATTTTCAGCCACTACAAATGACCTTTGGTGGAGGTGAGGGCGCAGTCCAACCTCCCGGCACCCTGTTCCAGTGCCACCAGCTGCGACGTGGGGATCAGAGCAATCGGAGCCTGCACCAGCTACCTGGGTACATTCACGACTGGCCACAGTCTGTGTTATCGCAAGTGAGGTCTGGAGGCCCCTGCAGATACATCCCCATGCCCTGCACTCATCTCGGGGTCCCATGGTGAAAGTGCATTTCAAGGAAGAACCACTTATGTTAAATAAGCCCTACAGGCAGCATTTCTGCAGATATGGTTTAGTTCATCGGGCAAAGACAACTGTTGCATGACCCAGAGAAGACAGACACAACATGTGGGGCATCTCTGAGGGCCATAAGACCCACAGACCAGTCTTCCCAGTGCCTACCCCAGTTTCCCAAGGCTTTACAAGAGTCTTTCTGACATGTCTGCTAGGAGTTTGGATGCCTTCCACCCAAGCAGTAGCTGCACTTCCCCAAGTCTCCATCTCTAATGACCCCTTGGGATGAGAGACCATAAAGCTTTCATGCATACCTCCAGTTTTCCAGCTGCTACCAACCAGCACAGCTCAGCCAAGGTCGGTGGGAGAGGGAGGCAAGGAAAGGCCAGGGGAAAACTGCTTAATGGTAACGGAGCAAGAGCTTTACAGCAGCATCTGGCTTTTCACGTAGAAAAAGTGAAATTCTGCCCTTTTGCTGGCGGCTGGTGGTTCAAAAGCAATGGGAAGACACATCTTAATTAAACAGTTTGTCCAGGTCTGCAAACCAGTAACTCGCAGCTTTCAAAACCACAAAACAGCAATTAGTGGGAGGATTCCTGATGTCCTGGCACATAACGAAGCATGACAGTACACAAATAAAATAAGAACTAGAGAATTAATTACGCGCTAAACAAATTAATTATGGGTCCTCAATCAATGCCGAGACAAGCGTAACCTCTTTCTCCTTACACCTTGGTATGAAAATAGATCAAACCTGGCAGCAAAGACTTCCCGCGTGCGTTTCTGACTCAAACCCAGCCTCGGAGCTGCCTCCTGGGTCTTGCGCTCACCTCTAGTGCCCTCCTGGTTATAAAAATCAAAAGAAAGCTGAAACCCTCTAAAAATATATTCCAGGAAAGTTCCAGGAAAACAATAATAATGTCCACAGATTTCCTAGGTACAGGCAAAGTGCTCAGAAACAAGATCGAGTGCAACCTACAGACCACAACCCCCGTCACCCCCTGCTCTGCAGACAGGGCAAGCGGCTGTTTTTCTGGCAGAAAAGGGGAAAAAAAACCCCAACAACTCAGGAATTGACGGCTGGAGGGTCAGAACAGACCTCTGGAAAAAAAGGAGCAGAAAGACCAGAGAAACTGAGAGAAACAGCTAGGTAAAGAGGCTCGGCATCCCCAAGCAAAGCTCTGAGGACATGGCCCTTGCACAGCAAAAAGAAAAGCTTAAAGGAAAGTTTTGCATTAACATGGTTGAAAAGGGACCTGCAACAGCGAGCAAAACCCCTTTGTTTACTGATTTCCTCCATGCTTGGACAATTTTTGCACCATCTTTGTAAATAAAAAAGCTTTTATAAAAAATTACCCTAATGCCACCGGTGATTTCTTCACAGCTAAAATAACTCATCATTTGCTGAACGTTGTAACCACGGGCTTCAGCAAAGGCTGAGTCCAGCACGTCCCTTCCCTCAAACACTGAGCAGTTAGCTGATAAACTGCAGAAGGGTTTATTTTGTGCTCCAACAAGCCAGCAGCAGCCTTAATTCTTCACACACTTTGGTCTTTTTTTAATCAGTGGCTCTCAGAAATCTGTATATCCAGAATAGGAGCATTTCATTGCATTTTTATTGTAAAAAAACCCTAACACTACTGCTTATTTGAAGATTTGATTTGACATGATTCAAACCAGATCTTGCAAATTAAACGCTCTCGAATTTGGACGGTCGAGGACGATTCAACACCGATCATTTTTCAAACTGCTTGAGAGTGGAAAGTGCAGCTTGATAAAGCCTTGTGAGCTGCCTCCGCCAGCAGCTTTGCATCGTTTTCCTGCCGAAATCCTGCTTTGCACCATCCCATCGCTGTCTGCACCAACTCAGGGACCCACTGCCGAGGAGACACAGCAGCGACGGCGTAAAGCAGGAAGACAGGAGTTAGGTGTCCATCCCAGTGGCTTTCAGCCACCAGTAGGTTTACAGCCAACACTTTGAATATAGAGAAAAGGCATTATTTCTTACCGACAGCAGGGAATGGCACAAACCTCTGGATCAAGAGACGAGTGGCGGGGGTAAACTTGTTTGCTCTCTGAACCAGAACATTAAGGCCCACCTTTGAATAGAAAAAAAAAAACAAAACAACAGAGAAGCAGAAATATTTAGCTACAAGGAGCAGGGCAGATGCCACAGCTTGCAGACAGCAGCAGAGCTCTTCAGGGGGACAGACTGGGGTCTCTCCCCATGCAGAAGCGTTTGAGAACTAAACCCCACACACACTGCAGGGTTTAGCTGTGTTGGGTTCAACCCTTTATCCAATGAAGGGTTGAACCCAATCGTTGGGTTGAACCCAACCGTTGGGTTTAAATGGAGGGTTGAACCCAACCGTTGGGCTGAACCAAACCATTGGGTTTAAACCCCTTCCAGCCAAAAGACAGGCTAGAAACCACTGCAATGCCATTCAGTCCTTCTGGAAATGCCCTTAGCTGCATTTTTACCCAGTTCATTGGCATTTTCCCCATCCAGCACAAAATCATTAGGACTGGGAGTCACCACCCAGCTAGGAAAAAGCCAAATATCAGTGGTGGTGGTTGGCTCAACACAAGTCATTCCTCCTCCCAGGGTCTGTGCAAACTACTCCACCCTACTCCATTGCAAACATTTGGGTTATAAAGGAGCTATTAATAGAAACAAGAAATAGCAGGCAGTTTATTATAACCATGGATCATTTTTTTGTTGCCTCCTCCATCACTTGAATAATGCAGAGCTCTCTGCAGTTTTGCAGGGATCTAAGTCATTGCATATGTTAATATAAACAGCACGGAGGAGAGTTGCTGCCTCGTCAGCCTCAGCGTGGTTGGATAGTAGCGATAGTCGGAGAATTTCCATAAAAATTTGTTTCAAGCAGAACTGGGGTTATTAATTAAACAAACCTATTCACAAGGAATGACTTCTGTCTTCAAATTAGTCTCCCCTACAATATTTTCTCTTTTTCATCCAAAAAAACCCAAATGCGCAAACAAAACCCAACAGCCCCAAACTGGGAATTTTAGGCCGAAAATGGAAGTCTTTAGCAATGCCTGGCCAAAAAGTTTTCAGCCAAAAATGCAGCAAAATTAAAAAAAAATTCAGCCAAAGCCAAAAACCTGCCAGCAAATAGTGATTTGGGGGCCTTAAAAAAAAGAAAAAGAAAAGAAAAGAAAAGAAAAGCAAAGCATGGGAGAACATATTTTGCAAGCTGATACATTATACATGCATCCGCACTGCATCTCGTCTTTTTGGAGGCTGAGAGGAAGATGTTGAGAAGCACAACTGCTGGGTAAGCCCTGCATAAGTAGAGTGCCGGTTTTCAAAACCCATGGAGTGTTTCCAGAGCCCCACAAGGCTTTCACCAAGACCCCAAGCAACAACCCTTCCTCCTCTCCTCAGCCACCGTGACTCTAGCACTGAGCCCAAGAGAACCACGGTGGTTCTTCTTAGTCTGGGCAAGAATGAGGGTTTTGTCTTAATCTTCTTCCCCCTCAAAAATGACTGAATGATATTTTTTTTTTTTTACATTTTCCTAGTGCTGGGATGCGTATTTGCAAAATCTGAATGCTTCCAGAAACTGTAAAGCAGTCTAGAACAGGTGGCTTTAAGAGCAGAAGTAAGACAGTCTTAAGCCTGGCTTTGCTGGTACTGCCCCATGGATTCAGGTATTTATAGCCTGGATACAGTTCATCTGTGTAGATGACAAATTTTGTTGGGTTTGCAGCCTCTGCTTGTAGGTTTGATGGAAGGATTTGACCGTGAAGTGGAGGAGCAGCAGCTTTTGAAACAGAAAAGATGAGTCTGGGAGAGACACCGCTGTGAGGCTAGTGGTAATAAAAGCATTTTACTTTCAGATTCAATTTGGTGCTGCAGATGAACTCGCTCCTCCACTTACAGCAACCACCCCGCTGTGAATATGAAATTAAATGTTGCTACAGATTTAAATCCAATCTCCCAAATTCCCAACACAAGGACGAGATTTAGGAAACTAATGAGGGTTTGTTTTTTACAGTTTTGAAATTGCTTTAGCCACTCTTTCCCGCAGGTTATGAAGTGGGATGAGGGTAAACAGGTCAAGGAGAGCATCCAACCACGAGCAGGTACTCCTCAATCTCAGACCACCGTAAGCAAAAGGGCCATCAACAAGGAGAGCTTAATGAGTTTAATTCCTAGGGGCTGGCCAAAGAACGCTGACTATCGAGGCAAATTCATCACTAAGAAAACAACTGCAGGAGTATTATTATTATCATCACCCTGCCTACAGCCTGAGTCACAGATCTGGGATCTACAACACTGGCTCTGTACAAACACGTAACAGAGAGTCAGGTGGGATTCATCACACCAAACGTGATAGAATCATAGAATCATTTAGGTTGGAAAAGACCTTTAAGATCATCGAGTCCAACCGTGAACCTAACACTGCCAGGTCCACCACTAAACCATGTCCCTAAGCACCACATCTACACTTCTTTTAAATACCTCCAGGGATGGTGACTCCACCACTTCCCTGGGCAGCCTGTTCCAGTGCTTGACAACCCTTTCGGTGAAGAAAATTCTCCTAACACCCAATCTAAACCTCCCCTGGCACAACTTGAGGCTGCTTCCTCTTGTCCTACGGGCTCCTTTCGCAGCCCAGCGCAGAGAAATGAGCCTTTTTAAGGGTTTTTATTCTCCTCCCAAGACAGACATTTACGGGTGCTCACGCGAAATGTCCCCAACAGTGCCCATTCATCCCTGCTAACTATCAAAGGAGTCCAAGGATGGAGCTCAAATGAAGATACCTACACTGGTGATGTCTCAACTCAGGCAAGACAAGTTCTCCTCCTTGCAGCTGGGAGCTCTGGGCATGGATTTGCAGTACTGGTTTCGGTGCAGGACTGGTTTGGGATATTCCTGCACTGTGACCTAGATTAGGGGACACATCCAGCTTTTTCAAATTGCCTATTTTTTTGAGGTTTCTTTCTCCACAGCACTTCCTTCATCTGGCTGACAGAGCACCTCAACAAGCCGGGGGAAGCTGGGCGCGGGGGATACATTACACCGCGACGGCTGCTAACATCCCGCAACGAGAAACCGGGGCTGAACGCTGCCAATGGGAGAGCAACCTTGCTCAGGGCTCTACTACGCCTCTGCCCTTCCTCCCTCCCTCTTCTTCAAGTGCCAAGAATTCCTGCTATTTATTTTGCTACCGGTTTTGTCTTCAGCATCAACAACGTTATCTCAGCAGAAGGACAGAGTTTGCAGCGTTGCCGTACTTGAAGCCATACCATCAGACACCGTCACAGAGTCACCGTGTAGTAATAAACCAAGATTTCTGTTTCCTTTTCTTTTCCTTCTTGTCTCAAAAAGTTCTGACCTCATGTCCGCCAAGACATGAATTTTAAAAGCACAGGAATTTTTTAAAAAAATCCCTGCTTTTTTTTTTTTCCCCCCTTTATGACTGCTAAGATTTTTGAAGCCTGAGCGATGGCTTTTGAATGCCTAAAGTTGGCAACGACCAAGCCATTTGACAAAGGTCTAACCCTACTCTTCTTAAACCAGTTCTAGAGCAGTAAACACATCAGCATTCAAGAAGTTATTTCACTTAATTGTGAGAGGGAATTTTTATAAAATAAAGGAATATTAGGAGTCCAGTCAGCAAGGTGGACATCGGTTGGTAGATGATGCCACCTAAACGTCGCTGAGCAGCTCTGTAGACTTCAGTAACTACGTTGGTGAGATCTCCACTGGTTTAAGGGATTCAACTTTTCCAGGTTCCAGTAGCCTTGGGGCAACCCTGACCACTGCAGTTGGAGCTGGCTCCTCGAAGTGACTTAGAAAGTCAACTTGGAAGGAGGGACTGGCTCCAAAGCAGCTTATCCTTCAGCCCTCAAATCACCAGATTGCTGAATTAGAACACTAATTGGATCTGATGAGTCCCATACAACCAAACTTAAGAAAAGAGCATTAGGAGAAGGAAGGAAAAAAATCATTCATTAGGGCTGAGAGGTGAAGACGGAGGCAGAGAGATGGAAAACTGGGCTGTTTACCAACTGGAGCTTTACCAAGTCAAGGAGAACAGAATGGAGGAGTATTAGGGAAGGGAAAGCAATAACAATCTGAGTGGAGAAGCAAGTTAGAGAGGAGCAAGAGTAAGGAAAGGAGGAAACTTGAATCACACCCAAGATGACTGCAGAAGGGATGACCGCAGTAGCCCCACAGTTGGATGCTTCAATGGAAGAAAATGGTGTAGTCTTGAGAAAGAAGCAAGATTGCAGGAGAGGTATGAGCAGGAAAAGAGGGGATTAATGCCGATAACGAGACAAACTTGATTTGGCAAATGATGGAAAAAGGAAGACGGCGGGGGTCCATGCCCAAGACAAGAGGTTGTTGTTTCAACATGGAGTTTTCCATGCATCTGGATCCTGTACAGAGGCAACCCCACACCCAGGCGCTGTGGGGCTGGGCTGGGGCGGAAGGAAAGGGCATGGATGAGAACCAATTTACTGGAAACAAAGACACACCAGTGAAACAAAGACACACCAGTGAAACAAAGACAGAAAACGCTGCAGAGAAGCACAAGGAGTTTGGAAGGCGGCAGTCGGCGAGGACCTGGCAGTTGCCATGTACTCCTGAGCCCAGAGGCAGGGTGACGGGCACCGGGTGCCTCCCTAGAGCACACAGTGTCTTTGCCTCCACTACGCCAAAGGCTTGAGGCTGTGCCTTTAGGAAACATCTGTTACAGCTCCAATGATTTATGGGCTCGATGGAGGAATCGCCAGGCTGAGTTTCCAGTCTGAGTGGTCATACCACTCTCTTCTGGTCTCTTCTGGTATCTGGACTTGGTGTCTGTGAATCATTAGAAAAGAGGAGGTGCAGAAATGGGAGGTTTTGAGCACAGATGTCCACATTTTAGAGCCGGGCACCACTTCATTTAAAAACTTTAAGCAGCAGACAGAAGCTTATCACCAGCTCCTCCATTCTACTGTGATTTTCCTCCTGATCCTAGCTCCCCACAACGGTTCACCTCCGAGGAGTCGCCCGGCCGTGCTCCATCCCCTCCCATCCCTCGCCCTACTTTGCACCGACTTCCTCCGGCTTCTAAGT